GTCCTTGCAAGCGTAATCGCGCCCCCGCTGCGTCCAGGTGCGATGATGAATGCGCGCCCAGTGGGGAATGCTCCTTTCGAGGCGGTGCTCCCTGGGGCGGCCGCCCACCCTGCGACAAAGCGCGGGCTGTTGGGAGGGGAATTAAAGGCGGCGCCGCGGGAGTCGAAGAACACAGGGACTCGGCAACGGGCGCGGACGAGGGGCGGGCGCCATAACAAAGGCAATGAGGATGAATATCAACGCGAATCATATTGACAGCAATAATTATCGGTATCATTTGGGTGACAGATAACCTTTCTCGGTGTATCGACGTGTGGTTTTGGCCAATTGGATCATTAATTGTACAAATGAACTGAAACTAAGCGTGGAAATGGTTCTATACCTTTAACAACCTGTTGTGAGGAATGAAAGGCAAAAAAAAAGAAGAAAAAAAGAAGAAAAAGTATAAAGAAGAAGAAGAAGAAAAGAATATGATGAAGAGACAAGAAGAAAAAGAAGAAGCCGAATACCACAAAGAAGACGAAGAAGAAAAGAGAAGAAAAAAAAAAAAAATAAAATAAAAAAAAGAAAACCAAAAATGACATTTCAGATAATGTTCAGAACAAATGCCGTTGCCCAGCCATCGGCACCTGAAACAGAGAGAGAGGGAAACCCCGTTATATTACCCCTCTAAAACGCGTATATTAAAAAAGGGGAAACTGGGTATTGAAAAGTATTGGTCAGTAGAACACGAGTTCGGTTTTACTGGCGTCATGGCTCGGTGCCACTCGGGGTAAGCTGCTCGCTCGATGGCACTGGACACTACTAACCATTTCATTATTCTCCTGGGAAATAGTTCTAGTGGTGAATGCAATTCTCATTTTTTTAATCATTTTTTTTTTCAATGAGATCGTTCGTGAATGAATGGATTTCTCTCTTTTTTCTTTGTCTCTGTCTCTCTTTCTCTCCCCCACCTCTCTCTCTTTCCCTTCCCCCTCTCTCTCCCTCCCCTTTTATCTCTCCCCTCCCCGCGGTCTCTCTCTCTCCCTCCCTCCCTCCCCTCTCTGGTCTCTGTCTGTCTGTCTCTCTCTCTCTCTCTCTCTCTCTCTCTCTCTCTCTCTCTCTCTCTCTCTCTCTCTCTCTCTCTCTCTCTATATATATATATAATATATATATATATATATATATCTACTATATATATATATATATATATATATATATATATATATATATATATATATATATATAATATATATATATATATATATATATATATATATATATATATATATATATCACCAATTTAATAGCATTTGATACAACTAAACAGTTCCCGTACTGACAGATTTTCTTCTTTTCTTTATTTGATTTTCTTCTTTTTAATTTTAATAGTTTTAAGTTCAAGCCGTGACTAATTCTCTCTCTCTCTCTCTCTCTCTCTCTCTCTCTCTCTCTCTCTCTCTTCTCTCTCTCTCTCTCTCTCTCTCTCTCTCTCTCTCTCTCTCTCTCTCTCTCTCTCTCTCTCTCTCTCTCTCTTTTTTTCTTGTGTGTGTAGCAACACGTACTCAAAATGTACCCTTTAGTTCAGTTATATATAGCAAAAAAGAATACGAAAAAAAGCAAAAAAAGAGAAATATTGTCAGTAAGAAAATGAAAATAAAATGTGTATACTCAAAATATATCCTCGAGTTTAGTATCTATTGAGAATGCCTTTTTTATTTCTTATTTTAGACCGGTATCATTTTCTGATGACGCAGATCATTAAAAAAGGATAGCTGGGATTATATAAGCCAATCGCAAAGGCAATGATCACAATAATGATGATGATGAAATTTATAATGATGATGATGATAAGGACAATAGAATGATGATAATGCTAATGGAATGGTGATAATGATAATGACATGATTATGATAATGATAAGAATAATGACAATGATGATAATGATTTTGATAATAATAACTATAATAACAATAATGCTTATAACAATAATGAACGTAACAAAATTAATAATAATAACAGTAATAGTTATCAATAATGATAATGATATTGATAATGATGATAATGATTATAATGAATGATTATGATAAATGTAATAATATTGATAATGATGATAGCAATAATGATAACGATAACAATAGAAATAATATTAAGGATAACAATAATGATCATAACACTGATGATAATAATAATGATGATGGTAATGAAGAAAGTTAATAATAATTGTAATTATAAAGATAATAGCAATTACAGTGATATCATTCATAACAATGATAACTGATATATGATAATAATGATAATGATAGTAACATTAATGATAATGATAATGATAATGATAGTAACATTAGTATGATAATGATAATGATAATGATAATAATAAAAATGATGGTGATTATAATGATAATGATACTACTACAAATAATAACAGCAACAACTGATGATAGTGATAACAATGAATATATCAATGACATTGATAGCAACAATTTAAACAATAGTGACATTAATGATGATAACAACAACG